TGTGTGTGTGTGTGTGTGTGTGTGTGTGTGTGTGTGTGTGTGTGTGTCTGTGTGTCTTTCTCCCTTTCTCTCAGAGACTGCATGGAACCCTACTCAAACCTTCTCAGAGCATCACTGCTTTCTTCTCCCCATTCTCTTGATCTTCATCCTCCTAATTTCAGCCTGTCATTGCTGCCCTCGTCCCAAGTCTACTGTGTGGTCTTTCAAATCAGTTTTCAAAGTTAACTTCCCCAGTCTCTGAATTTCCCCCAGTTCTAAATTTCAACAGGAGAGCAGAGAGACAGAGAGAGAGAATATGTGTCTCATCTTCTCCACCCAGATGCCACTGCTCACAGCCCTCAGCAAGCCTAGGCTGTCCTCAAATCACACATGTCCCATCAACACACCCAGGTCTCACCAGGCCATGGAGTGACTGATTTCATAGGGGCCGTGAGGGGAGAGAGCCAAGACAGCTCACAACACAGAGGGCATGAAAATGGCTAAACATGGTATCAGTAAGCCACTGCCATCAGTGAGGACACAGGACATATGTCAGCAGCTACACTTCCAACAACGGGGGACTCCATTTTCACTTCAATCTTGAAACAATTCGGAGGTAAAAGTCTTTCTTCTACACGTATTTTTTATGAAAAGAAAAAAATCTCAGACTATTCCAGTGCACAGAAAAAAAGAGAGAGAGAAGGCATTCCCTTCTAATAAGTAACTACAGGAAGCATTTATCAGGCTGAATAAAGCAAGGTACCTATGGAAATAAAATTGGTTAAAACTTAAACAGCAGCAACGACAACAAAACCATACCTCAAATAAACTTGGACCAAATACTCTCAGGGCCCTGATATGCGGAAATGACCACACCAAAATAGTTCATGAAAGAATAAGGATGACACTCAGAAGAGAAGCAATAGCCACTAAAGGACCTAAAAGAAGAAATTTTATTTCAAGAAGATGCTGCTGTTGTTAGTGTCTGTCACCAATTTCAGTTAACAGTTTTAATGTATTTTATTTGCTACTCTGGGGTTTTCAACAACACTTAGTGAGGCGGGACTTAGGAAAGGAAGTCCACACTTAGCTGTGTTCTTGCCGATCATATTTTGCCCATGATTATACATACATTAACTAGATGTATAATAAACTGTGCACGATTTCCAACCCATAGCACAACTTACAGGCACATCCCTCTTGTTCATTTAATCTGAAAATTGATACTTCTGTGACTGCTTATCCCAAGAGCTTTGAGCAAATATTAAAACTGCACAGCAAGTCCGTTCATAGCTTTTTCTTTCAAAATGTTGTTTTAAGCAATTCCTAGTCCCTATTATCTTCTCACCCATCTCCCACACATCTCAGGAAAGAAACAAAAATGACCAGAAAGCTTCTAGTTCCCAACTCTACTCCCAAAACACCATAGCACGAGAAGAAAGGGGGTTACCCAACTGATTCTAACAGACTATAGACCAATCCATTATTGTGGCTTTTTTTTAAATGACTTTAATGATTGTGTTCAGTATAAACTCATTCAATAATATCTGAAATCTTCCTTGACAGCATTGGAACCTAAAGCTCTACAATGGCGGCAAGAGAGGATGCCTGGATTATTTTCCCAGAGCCTAGTATGGTGTTTGGCACAAGGTTATGACCCAATCAATATTTGTTGAATGACTCAACTAATTATTGATAGCAGGGAGGAATGGAGAAAAGGACAAAGGGAGGTAAGGGTCACTAATCACATTTATGCAGGATTTTTCTTCCCATCTCGTTAGGTATTACACTAGCAGGATCCAATTTTGGATGCTTTACTAAACACAGCTATCGGATCATGCTAAATGACAGACAGATAACTTCTAAATGATTTCAATCTAAAAGCAAGACACAAAAGTGACAGTGGTTCTTATCCTCAATGTAGGCAGTGAGTAGTTCTGAGGCCCTACAATCATTTTCAAACATGTCAGCCTTTACCAGTTGAAGTTTTGGAAATCACTCAAGCTGAGGCTCCTGCCTCAGCCCCCTGAGGACTACAGACGTGTACCACTATATTTGGCTAATTTTTGTAGAAATGGGGTTTCACTGTGTTGGCCAGGCTGGTCTCAAACTCCTGGGTTCAAGTGATCAGTTCACCTCGGCCCCCCAAGTCACACCAAAATGTGACTTGATACAGCATCAGAGACTTTACAACTGAAAAATGATGGTGTTAATTATGGTTGATGACCCTGACCATCTGAATATGATCTGTAATTTCATCATTTCAGTTGTAATTCACTGACTATTAGCTCATATCAACGTCTTGTTATAAAAGTGTTCAGAATGTTTACAATGAGAGGCCTCGGTGATTACAGTCCCGTAAATGTGTGAATAACTGAGAGGTTATGCTGCAGTACACACCTCATCAAGCTTCCTTCTCAAGTCTCAAGTACATATTTAAAGCTCAACACTAGACCTCAATTATACTTGAATTGCCAGCAAGAAAAAAAAAAAAAACAGCTAAATTAGCAAAGCTGTCAAAAACACCCTCTGCTTTAAATTTACTTGGACAACTGGACAGTGGAAACAGTTCACTCATTTAAGGGTTGGCTTCATCTGTTAAAGATTTATTGAGTTTCTTTCTTGGTCCACAAGAAGATAGATGGAAAGTCAATCTTGATAAAATAGATTGTAAAATTGACTGGATTGCTAGATGTATATAGAGATTTGGTACAATCAGTATAGGGAGAAGTGAAGAGTTTGTGTATGATCCAATAAGATCATGTTACAGTGGTCTCAATGAATTACAAAAGTCCCAGCAGTAAAATAATTTGGTGCGGTACACACTTCTCAAAGAGTACGATTAAGTACCTACCATCTTTGCTTTGCTACCACGAGGAAAGGTTCTGTAGTTTGGAAATGAAACTAACCCAACACATGAAAGAGTTCTATCCTTCTCCACTAATAAAAATACATTTCATGTAATATTCTTTTAAAGGATACTTCAGGTTTCTGAGATAACTCCAAACTGTCGTTAAATGAAAACGTCTTAGAGAAAAAGTGTGAAGAGATTTCAAAAATAATAACAACCAAAATTCAGGCTGAATTAAAATCCTAATTTATATTTATATTTACATAATGTATTTTGTAATCCATACAAGGGGCCAAGGGCAGATAATCTTGGATTACCCCTTTTATGCTGGGTTTTGTTAAGCTTAACCTTTTTTTTTTTTCTTTTGAGGCAGAGTCTCACTCTGTTCCCCAGACTGGAGTACAGTGATGTGATCTCGGCTCACTCCAACCTCCGCCTCCCAAGTTCGAGCAATCTTCCGGCCTCAGCTCCCTGAGTAGCTGGGACTACAGGTTCACGCCACCACACCCAGCTAATTTTTCTGTTTTTGTAGAGATGGGGTTTCACCATGTTGGCCAAGCTGGTCTCAAACTCCTGGGCTCAAGTGATCCGCCTACCTCGGCCTCCCAAAGTGCTGGCATTATAGGCATGAGCCACCACACATGGCCAATTTAAACCATATTTGAAACACCATTCACAGGAACACTTGATAAATACGTTATCCTGAATCCCATACTTATGTAAAATAATCCTTACCACTCAAAACAGAATAGACTTCTATTACCCTGGAATCACCCACTTAGATGGTTCCCATTTTAAAACATCTAGAGGCCAGAAGGAGGATTGGGGGCTAAAAAGGAAAAAAAAAAAAAAAAAAGAATATAAATGTATTTTTACTACTGGACTGTATATTTAAAAATGGTAAAGACGGTAAATTTTATATGTGTATTTACCTCTATAATAAAAAAAATTTTTTTAATGTAACACATTTTTTGATTTACCTGAAGTTGTTCTCAGCCCCTCATCTTCGATGTTAGAATCTTAGTGCTATTAAAAAGCATAATATCCAACTCATCCCATTCTCTCATTACAAAGAGGAGGGGACAGAGGCTTGGAGAGTTTAGTGATTCATCCAAGCACACACGGCCATGCAGTGGCAAGGCCTGTACTGCAGCCCAGCTCTCTGATCTTTACTCTGATTTTTTCTGTGGCATCACCTAGTAACACCAGATACCCTTCAGCAGCCACCACCATCTTTTTCCTCCCATGTATATTCTACTGAAGGAAAACAGTAAATTCAATGTAAAAAGCATTTCTGTGTGCATACAGGTAGGTACTCTACAAGGAAAGGTGGGCAGGTCCAAAACCAACTAAGGCTAGGCCCCTGACTGCAGAGGCAGACAGACATGCTCCCAGATGACCATCTTCCACAGTCAGCAACCTCTCATAAGAGTTGACACAGACATGAGCAGTGCTAGGAAGGCACAGGAGTTAATAGAGTCATTCCAGATTAGAAGGCCTAAGAATGCTTTGAGAATTAGGTGTTGGTTAGGGTGGATGAGGAAGATTTTGGCAGGGGGCCTGGTATTCATTCTGGGAAATTCTTTTATGCTGCCAGACTTGTCCAATTTTAATCCATTAAAAAAAAATGGAATCTAAAAATATAGTAGACTGTATCCAGTTGCTGGACAGTGGCTCAGAATGGTACTACTGACTTAACAAGTAGTCCTGCGATCACGAAATGCACATTTATCTACATAGCTGTGTCCAAGTTATTTGTATAAATAAATCTACCCCCAACACAATACTTCAATTTTATAATAGGGCTTTAAGGGCAGACATTTTATCCATTTTATGGATTTTTAAAATGAGGATCAAAGAGATTGAAGACTTACCCACAGGCACATGGCTGGCAAGTGGCAGAAGTTAAAGCCCGTTTCTTCTCTCCATTTTTCCTGCATTTGTATACCACCATGTTGTCTTTACAATTTTACTGCTTTTAAATCCTTTTTTATGTGCATTGAATAAGGTCACGAACTTTCAGAATACCACTACAGAACCAATTCTGATAAATCAGATATAGCTGTTACACACTGCGGCCTCACAACCCACCATCACAACTACGATCAGCAAGCTAATGTGATGGGGCAGTATCCTCTAGACATGGCCCATCAGATGTGACCTACATACGCGCCTTCTTTCCTAAGAAAACTGGAAACACCTGGATCATGTTAGGTCACCTCTGGGTTTCTACAGCTGGATTTTATGCATCTCCCCTCTTAAGGAGTTGACAATCTGGAAAAAATCTTGATATTCAGCCAAGAAAACAAGAGCCTTTTGAACACGGACAGTTCTATATGTTCTGGCAAAGGAGTGGGGAGAGTGAGATGGAAATTATTCCTTATGGTGTATAAATAAATGTGTGGGCAGTAAGAAAGATCGGTCATGACCTTCCAGTCAGGATACGTGAAGCAAGAAAAGCCAGCCCATTTTCCTCCTAAACAATCCTCTTCGAATAACAAGTGGCTGCATTACGCAAGGGGCTTGGTCAGTGGTGTCCAGTGAACAGTCACGTCCAGGCTCCTGCGGTTCGATTGAACCATCCGTTGTGTGGGTCCACACAGCTGGGCTCTGCTCATTGGTTCTTTCACCCTCTCTGAGAGACACTTGAGAATCTCCTCTCTCCAGGCAAAGGTCAGGGGACCACTGGTGGGGCAACCCTGCTTACCCTTGTAGCATACTGTTTCCCTGGTTGAAAAAGCTTCTGATGTAAAATTAGTCATCAATTTAGCTATTTTTTCCCATGATCCTGAACTCTGGCTTTCTGAATGTAATGTGTACATGTAAAATAGCCAAACCATAGGAAGAGATGCAGTTACCAGGCTGTGAATATTAAAGCTGGCAACAGTCAGAGCAAATGTGGCATTAAACCAAATATGGCATCCCTGCCCAGGCTGTAAGCTGAAAAGTCACCATATTGAAAACAAGGAAAGGAGGTTTCCTATCCGAAAAAACATGAAATACTCTGAAACTGAGTGTGAAGTAAGAAGAGCTCTTTGGCCTTTTGCTTATGGCAAGAACAGGCCAAGATGTATGTGTGTGTGGAGTGGGAAATACAGCTTTGCATTTACTGATTGTGAAACACATGCATCAGCCAACAGAGAGAAAGCCCAGGTGCAAGGGCAAATTCCACCTGCTGCTCACTGATTTCCTTGACCACAGTGGTTATCTACGTTTATGTTTATTTCTCACTGATGTGTAGTTCAGTGCTTATGAGCAGCTAGAGATACAAAGACGGGTGTGTCCCTTGTTGAAAGCTCCTTTCCACATGTGCAGTCCCGGTCATACACCTGATGCTGCGCTTTTAATCTATTTCACAACGCCTGGCCGATGGCCATTAAAGGCAGGTCCCATGCTCAAGCTTCACTCTTGGAGTTGTCCAAAACATTCTCCTATTGCTCCTGATTTTAAAACATCCTGGTTTCACCTGTCCCCAACTCTTGACTTTCCCTCTCATCAGGCAACCTGAAGGTGGCCTTTAAATTTAATGGCCGTATTTGCATATGCTGGTTTTAAGCCTTCATGTTTTCTAAAGACAGTGAATCAGAATAATTCTTCGACTTTTTCCATGCTTGGTCACTTGTATATTAACTTCCTCCCCTCCCTACCTAGCTCTGGTCCCCAAGACCCAAACTGCAACCCCTGGCCTGTCGAGTCCCATCCCCATGGAATTGGGGTGGGGAAGACTGAGGCACTTCATTTCTCTATTACAGGGCAGCTTGTTGCCTTATTAAGGAGCCTGAAGTCATGGGATCAAGCAGAAAGACTACCCTCCTTGTGAGACAATCAGAGGAAGGAAGGGGATGTTAATGAATAACAGGAAAAGGAAAGAAGAAAACTGGTAGCAATCGGGAGTATTCCTATATCCTCACTGTCTACAGGCAAAAGCTGCAATGTCTCCTCCTATCTAGGGAAGTTGGCTGCCTTTTTAAAGTGATGCTTTAAACATTCTTTGCCTTCAATGAGATCTCAACAGCCACAGTATTTACAAAGAGCCACTGCCAGGACCAAAAACAAATTAAGCTCTTAGAACCTAAATAACATACTCATAAATTTTATTTGGGAGGTGAGAAATATGCCAGACTCATGCCCATTCAGCCAGAGAAACCATCATACAAGAGGGTGGGTTCTTAAGATCCTTGAAAACTAGCAGTAAGACAACTTAGAAAACCTGGCAAAGGAAGCGATTCCAAGGGTAAGAAACCCCAAGTGCATGGGCTTAAAGCTGTGCCTGGCACATGGCTAGAAAGAGAGGATGTTGTGGAGGGAAGCCTGGAAGGGCGAACAGGAGGAAACAGCAGTTGCTACTGCTCATTATTCATAAAGAAGCCAAGATCTAGAAAGGATGGATAATGCACTGGACCCAGCTTATGCCCCCGCCCCCACCCTGGATTTGCTCATGACTGTTCAGGAAGCTTGCCCGGCACCAAGCAGTCGTATAGGTCACAGGGAGATGTTTGGCTCTTCACTGGAGGAAGTGTCATCTCTGTCTTCATGGTAGCCATCTGCCTGCTGGGCTAGCTGGGCCTGCTACAGCAGCTGCTCCTGGAATCTGAGGTAATGTGTGGCTATGACTGAATACACCTCATGCCTAGAGCCTCCTGCCTCTTGCCAAAGGCTCTGTTTCAGTCCCTATGGTGGGCAGTACCACGGGACCCTCTCGGTGTTCACACACCTGCCCTGGTTCATGCTGGTTCTGCAGTGTGCTGGAAGGCTAACCCGCAGGGCCCTTGCCTTGCTCCCGCTTGCTGCGTGCCCCATAAGCTGCAGCTCATGCCTAGGAGGTGGCTACTAAGATGGGTTTCGATTTCCACAGTGGCTGTAGCAGGACAGATCATGC